AACTGTGTGGGTACCAGTAGTACACTCTGCTGTGTGGGTACCAGTAGTACACTCAACTGTGTGTGTACCAGTAGTACACTCAACTGTGTGGGTACCAGTAGTACACTCAAGTGTGTGGGTACCAGTAGAACACTCAACTGTGTGGGTACCAGTAGTACACTCAACTGTGTGGGTACCAGTAGTACACTCTGCTGTGTGGGTACCAGTAGTACACTCAACTGTGTGGGTACCAGTAGTACACTCTGCTGTGTGGGTACCAGTAGTGCACTCTGCTGTGTGGGTACCAGTCGTACACTCAACTGTGTGGGTACCAGTAGTACACTCAACTGTGTGGGTACCAGTAGTACACTCAAGTGTGTGGGTACCAGTAGAACACTCAACTGTGTGGGTACCAGTAGTACACTCAACTGTGTGGGTACCAGTAGTACACTCTGCTGTGTGGGTACCAGTAGTACACTCAACTGTGTGGGTACCAGTAGTACACTCTGCTGTGTGGGTACCAGTAGTACACTCTGCTGTGTGGGTACCAGTAGTACACTCAACTGTGGGGTGTACCAGTAGTACACTCTGCTGTGTGAGTACCATAGTACACTCAACTGTGTGGGTACCAGTAGTACACTCAACTGTGTGGGTACCAGAAAGTACACTCAAGTGTGTGGGTACCAGTAGTACACTCAACTTGTGGGTACCAGTAGTACACTCAAGTGTGTGGGTACCAGTAGTACACTCAACTGTGTGGGTACCAGTAGTACACTCAAGTGTGTGGGTACCAGTAGTACACTCAACTGTGTGGGTACCAGTAGTACACTCAAGTGTGTGGGTACCAGTAGTACACTCAACTGTGTGGGTACCAGTAGTACACTCAAGTGGTGTGGTACCAGTAGTACACTCAACTGTGTGGGTACCAGTAGTACACTCAACTGTGTGGGTACCAGTAGTACACTCAACTGTGTGGGTACCAGTAGTACACTCAAGTGTGTGGGTATCAGTAGTACACTCAACTGTGTGGGTACCAGTAGTACACTCTGCTGTGTGGGTACCAGTAGTACACTCAACTGTGTGGGTACCAGTAGTGTAACCTAAGTTAAGGTACTTGTAGCCTACCCCTTACTTCCACTTCTGGATCTCGTGTTCACTCCGTGTCATTGTTTTGGTATATTGTATGTCCCATGTGTCTCCCTGTTTCATGCCGGAGGGAGTGGTGGACGGGGAGTCTTCTGACTGACTCTCCCTGCCTCGACCATCTTGATAATGTATGATGGTCCGCATTCTAGGTAGAAATAGGTTGTTCTTCTCGACTGATAACCTCAGTGTGGACTTTAAAAGTCCTCTGCTCTGTCTGTCTGTCTGTCTGTCTCTCTCTCTCTCTCTCTCTCTCTCTCTCTCTCTCTCTCTCTCTCTCTCTCTCTCTCTCCCCCTCTCTCTCTCCTCTCTCTCTCTCTCTCTCTCTCTCTCTCTCTCTCTCCTTCTCTCTCTCTCTTTCTTTCTCCCTCTCAGACTTGCAAGTCCCAGTTTACAGATCATCTTCAGAGTTTTAACGCCGGTGTATCTTACAGGAAAATTCGGCATTGTTTTGGGCAGTGTAGGCGCCAAATATATTCAATAAATTGGGAAAATTGGAATACTGGTTTTCATGAAATGGCATGTGAATGCCTCTTCTGATCGGCTTCAAACCTTCAATGCTGATGTCCCTTTTTTAGAGGAAATTTTAAGACTGTTATTTGAATATTTTTTACTTGTCATGTTTCCCAATTTTTTTTTAATCTTTTATTTGTGTTGAAACTTGAGAAAGCAAACGCTGCTCTCATCGTGTTCAATACCTTTAATTAACCTCTGTATTGTCTCGATAAAGCACCTGGTGGGCGAAACGTTTTCAACACAATGAGACCCAGGTGCTGCACCTGCGTCTTCGTCAGTGCTGAAAGGGCAGTAGGAATATTTCGCAAATAGACTGGCGGACCATTGAAACAGTACCGAAGGTGAGGACGTACGACTCACGAAATCGTAATAACACGATTGCAGATACATCAGGGAACGGGTGGGGTTTGAATCTAGCCTGGTGAAACGTTTCCAGAATAAAGATACCCGAATTTTGCACAAGTTCCTTAATTATGAGAGACATATGAATATACTTTAGTCATAATGATGTAATTGGAAGTACATCAACATAAGAAGGATTTCGTATATTCAAAAATAAATTCAATTTTTTAAATAATGCAAAAAAACACTATTCTTCCCTTTTGCACCATCATTCATCAGATATACTTTGGTTTTATTCTTAAATTATATTATTCAATGACTGGCTACGACATAATCAGTTTTTTTTATGATCAGGTCACCCGTTCACGTCGTTTATAACTATGTAACTGAAGGTGTTAGAGGTCTGGCCGCCTACAGTGGCCTTTGTTAAATTGTGTTCACTTACTCTAGCGCCATACTGGTTTTGTTTTTAACTTTGACAAAATGTACAGCAAGATTTTCTGGACACAGGTTGTCAGACATTTTGTATACATTTAAGCATTTTCAGTTAATGTAATTTATATTGAGCAGGACAGCACCGAGTCTGTACAGGAGCTCTGATGTGGCAGTTGTGTTTTTATGCTACATTATTTACTTCCAATTCCCCTGACATGCATGGATCACATGATCATTACCAGATATTTCAGATGGATTCTTCCCTTACACAGTATATCGAATTTATTTATCCTTTTCAGTTTATCTCTAGAGCCAAATAGTGTGACATCTGTTTTTCATAAGTGATTCGACAGTTTCTTTTATGTCCTAACAGTTTTCTGTAAAGCTGTTACCAGCCATAGTACTTAGGCTATACCTTCTACGCTTTCGCTTCCTGGCACTAAGAATTGTTATCAGTATACACTTCTAGTTTACATCTAACACTAATAGGATGTCATTAACCTAACACAAGAAGAGTTAGGGGCCTGCGATACTTCTTAGTGGCACTGCATGTGTTATCAACAGGAGTTCTGATACTGTTATTGATCGCGACAATATATTTCCTATTATTCAGTCTACAGAGACTATGCCGATACCTTGCAGTTTCTTATGTAGCACACTATGCTTCACTGTAGATGAGTAAGACACACTACAGCAATTTGATATCTACTGCCAAGATGTTTCGCCTGCTTGGCAGATTTCTCCAGTCGAAATACAGAGGTGACTTAAATAACAGAGACAGCAGAAGTAGGGGAGAGGTAGATGAGGTGACCAGTCCCTTGAAGAACGAAGTTTCAGGTGGTCAGTCCCTCAGCCCTGGTAAGTGTTCAACTCCAGAACCTGGATCATTATGAAGCTCATCTCCTTGTCCGTATGGTATATCATTAATATAATGATATAGTTCGATGTTTTAAATGCCTTTTGTAGATCTAATGTAACTATCCCTTTGGTATACCCTTTCGATACTGATATAAGTTCTTATTTAATCAATCAGGTTAATTAAGGAGGTATCCCTTGAATAATCCTGATTGGTAACTGTGTTAAGATATTATTGTCATTAGGATATTTAACTACCCAGTAATTTACCGTTTTCTTCAGGATTATTGACAGGCTGTACATACATGTGCACAATTTGTATCCCCCGCATGACCTCATATACATCTTAACATATTGAAAAGTTGTCCCAGTAAACGTCCTTTCTGAAAACATATCTGTTATTTATGATATTAACAGACCTACACTAACTGGCATTTGATCAACTGTTATCTTAAAACTAGGGGTTATCCTGGTTGACTGAGCTCCCTGGGCACGGCTTTGGAGGAGATAGACAAATTGATTATGTGAGCTAGGGGTACTTTTGTTTCGTAGCCTCAATCATTTTTTGGAGTCCAATGCTTTTAGTTTAGTTCACATTATTGTATACCTGTCTAGTTCACATTAGTTCCTTATATATAAATTCCTCAGCTACTCCTGATTAATTAGCCAGAGAACAGGTGGTGTCCTGTGGCCAGGTCGTCAAAGTTCTCGCATCACACACTGAATGTCTAAGGTTCGATCCTCGGCAGGGTGGAAACATTGGGCGTGTTTCCTTACACCTGCTGTCCCTGTTCACCTAGCAGGGAAGTAGGTACCTGGATGTTAGTCGACTGGTGTGGGTCGCACCCTGGTGTATAAGATTGAAGGAACCCAGTGGAAATATGACAGACAGTCCTCGATGACTCACTGACTTTCTTGGGTTATCCTGGGTGGCTCTCTGGGGTTAGAAATCCGAACAAAATCTTATCTTAACAGGTGGGGCTTGAAATTGTTTGGGGTGGAGCTTGTATTACAGTAGCAGAATATAAAAGCATTCACGTCTATGTTGAAATTGTTTTCATGCCCCTGGCAGTTTATTGACTGATGACACATGATGCTTCAGCTGGAGGCTGGATTGGATCATGAGCTACAACATAATAATAAAATAAATAATGTGAGAAGGTGGTTTGAGATGAAAGAAGAAGGAAGGAGGTTTATACATAACAGAGAATGATGGAAATGTAACACAGCGATATCGGGATATGTAATTTTGCCCACTCGGGGCTGCAGGTGGAATGAACTAAAGAAAAGGTAGAGGAAAACATAACACATTGTTTCAAGACAAGGCAGGTGCTGTAAGTACGTATATCACATCAAACACAACTTTTTTTATTTTGTACGGATCAATTTTACAGCCCAGATCTGATATCTTGCCTCAGCTCATTACAAAGCCCACCCCCTGGACGCCACCCACAACAGTCAGACGAACATTCAGGTACCTACTTACTGTTAGGTGAACAGGGGCAGCAGACGTAAGGAAACATATCCAACATTTCCACCCAGCTAAGGGCTCGAACCACAGACACTCAGTACATGAGCTGAGTGTGCTACCAACCGAGCCGCGGGACACTTTACATACACAAAAAAAAGGTTCTGTAACTCAAGGAAAATACATATAATTGAAAAGAAATTCCTTTTTTAACATAAAAAAAAGTGCAGACGAAGATTATGGTCAATGTTTCCATCCTCAGTAGAGTGTGATGCTGAGGCCAGTGACGACAACACAGGCAAACATGCTGACCAGGACGGTGACTGTGATTGTGATGGTGGTGATGATCCACCAAGATGGTCAGGTTTCAGGTTACAACATCAACACAAAGCTGGCCAGGGTGATGACTGGACCCAACGACTCTTACTATGGGTACAGTGTGACTCTGTGGCAAGACCAGCAAGGAGAGAAGAGGCAAGTTGTTTTGTGTGTGTGTTGTGTACATAATATTATATAATATATATATATATATATATATATATATATATATATATATATATATATATATTAATATATATATATATATATATATATATATATATATATATATATATATATATATATATATATATATATATATAAATATATTATATATATATATATATATATATATATAAAGTTTTTATAAAGTTTTATAAAGTTTTTCTTCTTCTCTTTTTTAGTAAGTGTCTACAGGAGAAGGGGTTACTAGCCCATTGCTCCCGGCATTTTAGTCGCCTCATACGACACTCATGGCTTACGGAGGAAAGATTCTTTTCCACTTCCTCATGGACAATAGAAGAAATAAAGAAGAACAAGAACTATTTAGAAAAAGGAGAAAAACCTAGATGTATGTATATATATATGCATGTGCGTGTCTGTGAAGTGTGACCAAAGTGTTAGTAGGAGTAGCAAGATTTCCCTGTTATCTAGCGTGTTTATGAGACAGAAAAAGAAACCAGCAATCCTACCATCATGCAAAACAGTTACAGGTTTCTGTTTCACAGTCATCTGGCAGGACGGTAGTACTTCCCTGGGTGGTTGCTGTCTACCAACCTACTACCTACAAGAGAGCAAATGAGAGAGTGGGTGAGATGTTATCAACAAATTTTGTTGAAAATAAGAAAAAGTTTTGGAGTGAGATTAACAAGTTAAGAAAGCCTAGAGAACAAATGGATTTGTCAGTTAAAAATAGGAGAGGAGAGTTATTAAATGGAGAGTTAGAGGTATTGGGAAGATGGAGGGAGTATTTTGAGGAATTGTTAAATGTTGATGAAGATAGGGAAGCTGTGATTTCGTGTATAGGGCAAGGAGGAATAACATCTTGTAGGAGTGAGGAAGAGCCAGTTGTGAGTGTGGGGGAAGTTCGTGAGGCAGTAGGTAAAATGAAAGGGGGTAAGGCAGCCGGGATTGATGGGATAAAGATAGAAATGTTAAAAGCAGGTGGGATATAGTTTTGGAGTGGTTGGTGCAATTATTTAATAAATGTATGGAAGAGGGTAAGGTACCTAGGGATTGGCAGAGAGCATGCATAGTTCCTTTGTATAAAGGCAAAGGGATAAAAGAGAGTGCAAAAATTATAGGGGATAAGTCTGCTGAGTATACCTGGTAAAGTGTATGGTAGAGTTATTATAGAAAGAATTAAGAGTAAGACGGAGAATAGGATAGCAGATGAACAAGGAGGCTTTAGGAAAGGTAGGGGTGTGTGGGACCAGGTGTTTACAGTGAAACAATAAGTGAACAGTATTAGATAAGGCTAAAGAGGTCTTTGTGGCATTTATGGATTTGGAAAAGGCGTATGACAGGGTGGATACGGGGGCAATGTGGCAGATGTTGCAAGTGTATGGTGTAGGAGGTAGGTTACTGAAAGCAGTGAAGAGTTTTTACGAGGATAGTGAGGCTCAAGTTAGAGTATGTAGGAAAAAGGGAAATTATTTCCCAGTAAAAGTAGGCCTTAGACAAGGATGTGTGATGTCACCGTGGTTGTTTAATATATTATAGATGGGGTTGTAAGAGAAGTAAATGCGAGGGTCTTGACAAGAGGCGTGGAGTTAAAAGATAAAGAATCACACACAAAGTGGGAGTTGTCACAGCTGCTCTTTGCTGATGACACTGTGCTCTTGGGAGATTCTGAAGAGAAGTTGCAGAGATTGGTGGATGAATTTGGTAGGGTGTGCAAAAGAAGAAAATTAAAGGTGAATACAGGAAAGAGTAAGGTTATGAGGATAACAAAAAGATTAGGTGATGAAAGATTGAATATCAGATTGGAGGGAGAGAGTATGGAGGAGGTGAATGTATTCAGATATTTGGGAGTGGACGTGTCAGCGGATGGGTCTATGAAAGATGAGGTGAATCATGGAATTGATGAGGGAAAGAGAGTGAGTGGTGCACTTAGGAGTCTGTGGAGACAAAGAACTTTGTCCTTGGAGGCAAAGAGGGGAATGTATGAGAGTATAGTTTTACCAACGCTCTTATATGGGTGTGAAGCATGGGTGATGAATGTTGCAGCGAGGAGAAGGCTGGAGGCAGTGGAGATGTCATGTCTGAGGGCAATGTGTGGTGTGAATATAATGCAGAGAATTCGTAGTTTGGAAGTTAGGAGGAGGTGCAGATTACCAAAACTGTTGTCCAGAGGGCTGAGGAAGGGTTGTTGAGGTGGTTCGGACATGTAGAGAGAATGGAGCGAAACAGAATGACTTCAAGAGTGTATCAGTCTGTAGTGGAAGGAAGGCGGGGTAGGGGTCGGCCTAGGAAAGGTTGGAGAGAGGGGTAAAGGAGGTTTTGTGTGCGAGGGGCTTGGACTTCCAGCAGGTATGCATGAGCGTGTTTGATAGGAGTGAATGGAGACAAATGGTTTTTAATACTTGACGTGCTGTTGGAGTGTGAGCAAAGTAACATTTATCAAGGGGTTCAGGGAAACCGGCAGGCCGGACTTGAGTCCTGGAGATGGGAAGTACAGTGCCTGCACTCTGAAGGAGGGGTGTTAATGTTGCAGTTTAAAAACTGTAGTGTAAAGCACCCTTCTGGCAAGACAGTGATGGAGTGAATGATGGTGAAAGTTTTTCTTTTTCGGGCCACCCTGCCTTGGCGGGAATCGGCCAGTGTGATAATAAAATATATATATATATAATATAATATATATATATATATAATATATATATATATATATATATATATATATATATATATATATATATATATATATATTGTTATGCTTGCACTCCAACAGCTTGTCAAAGTCCATTAGTCACTTGTTTTCATTCAGTACTCTCTAACACTGTCTATAACGCTCAAACATGCCTGCTGGATGCTCTAAGTTCTTTTTCAAAACCTTATTTGCACCATCTTTCTAACTCTTCTAAATTTAGGTAAGCTCTCTCCCTCTCACCATAGTCTGGTGCCCATTGCTAAAGGAACCCTCGCTAGGCAGACTCGTTGGCAGCCAAAATCAAGTAGATGTTGTCGCCATACCACCCTGGACTGACGCGGCAAGCAGAGAGTGCCGGACTTCACTTACGTGGCTACACGTAAACTGAAGCTGAAGGTGGTATCACCAGTTTCACGGAGACCCAGAAGTCCCTCAAATAAACGGAATTTGCGTCTTGATACTGCTTTGTCTCAGTTGTGTCAGAGAATCTCGTGCCATAGAAAAGTGGGCACTCAAGTTCTTCACCCCTCATGTGAGGAAGGAATTAGGTACACCTAGTGTTGCTCATAGAATACGTAAAATCATTGTCATGATAGGACTGAAGCTGCTGCGTGGTGATCAGAACAATGTTGTCTCTAGAGAATTTGTAGAACATACAATTCATGGGACAAGGGAATCAAGGTGGATTCAAATAACAGCCACATACATTGAAAGGTTTGGACTACATGAACTGCATCATGTTAAGACACAACTCTTTTTCCAGCTTGGTAGATAAAAGCTTTTGATATCTCTATGCCCACCTACCCTCCCATGAAACTAATCACGCACAATCCTCATTTAAACTCTGTGCTCTAGACAAATCCACGACCTGAAGACAAAAAAAAAAATATCACACAGAATACGCTGATGGCTCCCAGACAGTAGGAGGGCGGGAAGTGCTGTTATCGTAAATCATTCTGATGGTACTATAATACAGAAACGTATTAGAATTAATAACTGGACTTCCACCTTACAAACTGAGGTCCATAACATACTTGTTACTCTCCAGCTTGTGGAAACTCCGACTTCGGACAATTTAATTGTAACTCACTGTCCTCATTACTTTAAATATCCTGAGACCTAAATGTTGGTACCATGCTTGTGTATGAAGCTAGGCACAGACATATACTAATTATTAATGAAGGGGTCAAAGTTAAACATATCTATGGAGAAAGTAACAAGGTCAATAGACTACCAGATGTTGTTACTGCTAAACTATAAGTATCTCTGGCAAACCTGTTGCTACTGATAAACTAAGGCTATGTTATATCTCTTGCAGTACTGTTGTTACTGCTAGACTTAGGCTAGATTATAAGTATCTCTTGCATACTGTTGCTACTGCTAGACTAAGATTAGGTTATAAGTGTATCTGGCAGTACTGTTGATACTATTAGACTAAGGCTAGGCTATAAGTATCTCTGGTAATACTATTGTTACTGCTAGAGTAAAACTATGTTATAAGGACCTCTGGCAATACGGTTTGTATAGAGATGTTAGTGACATAAAATGCGAAATATGTGGCAGAGACAGTGTCATACACTGGTGTGTGGACAGAGACAGTGTCATACACTGGTGTGTGGACAGAGACAGTGTCATACACTGGTGTGTGGACAGAGACAGTGTCATACACTGGTGTGTGGACAGACAGGGCCATACACTGGTGTGTGGACAGACAGTGTCATACACTGGTGTGTGGACAGACAGTGTCATACACTGGTGTGTGGACAGACAGTGTCATACACTGGTGTGTGTACAGAGACAGTGTCATACACTGGTGTGTGGACAGACAGTGTCATACACTGGTGTGTGGACAGAGACAGAGCCATACTCTGGTGTGTGAACAGAGTGTGTCATACACTGGTGTGTGAGCAGAGAGTGTATCATACACTGGTGTGTGAGCAGAGAGTGTATCATACACTGGTGTGTGAGCAGAGAGTGTATCATACACTGGTGCGTGGACAGACAGTGTCATACACTGGTGTGTGGACAGACAGTGTCATACACTGGTGTGTGGACAGACAGTGTCATACACTGGTGTGTGAGCAGAGAGTGTATCATACACTGGTGTGTGAGCAGAAAGTGTGTCATACACTGGTGTGTGGACAGAGAGTGTATCATACACTGGTGTGTGGACAGACAGTGTAATACACTGGTGTGTGAACAGAGAGTGTATCATACACTGGTGTGTGGACAGAGACAGTATCATACACTGGTGTGTGGACAGAGACAGTATCATACACTGGTGTGT